GTTAGCCATGTCCAGGCACTCAAAGACTCTACAAGAAGCCATCAATGATTTCAAATACTACTCTGATCGAACGACCCTTTTGTACGAGCGCACTAAAAAATGCTTTGGGGAGATCGAGGAACGTCTTAATCTCGGTCAACAAGCGGGCTCTGGAAATTTGATTGCCTCCTCGCAGTTAAATGATGTGGAGAGAGAACTTAGGAAGACACCGACTGTAGTCTTCATCGGCGAACGAAATTGCGGCAAAAGCTCCATAATTAATGAACTTCTAAAAAAGACTTACGTACCAGTTCACGAGAACCCTTGCACAGCTAGAATCGTGCGAATCAAACACGCGGATGAGTGGAGCGCAAGGCTCGTTGGAGCAGATGGGAACGTGGTACGAAGTAGAGAAGATGTCAAAGGCATTAAACTTCTCCAAACGTTGATAGTGGTCTCAGACAAAGACAGAGAGAATCCAAAAGCTTTAGACGCTACTGTGGAGATCGGATTAAACCATGACCTTCTGAAAAGTGGAATCGAGTTGATAGATTCACCCGGGAAGAACGAGTCGGACGTTTTGGATAGAGTGTTGGAGGATTTCCTCGAGAAAGGCACAGTTCCTCTTTTTGTGTACGTAATTGACGGAAAAATGCATCTCAGACCTTCGGTAAGTTTAACTTCATCTAGTTCAAATGTAACTAGTCACAGTTTCAGGAAAGATACTTCTTGGAAGCGTTGTTTATCTAAATATTGTTTGTCTGAGCGTCATTGATGAACGGAGGAGATTTGACAAGACTCGGATGTTTTTCATAATAACTCATAATTTTTACAACATGCCCAAACATAACCTTGTGTCTTCGATTGTAAATGAATCAAGAAACGGCTTTAATTTCCTTTCGTAGAACACGGTTGTGGCAGTGTTTGAGATAGCTTCGTTAGTCGTAAGAACGTGACGCGGAAGCCCAAGCCAACCATTGTCTTTTGGATTTCAGTGTACCCGGAAGTTACAATTAGGTTTCGAAATACGATATCATTTTTGTCGAGTCAGGCAACTTAACTAAATTTATTCGGTTGGGGAAAAAAAAACCCTTGATTGCTTCACAAATTCTCCTCGTCAGTACCATGGGAATTGTAAAAAGATCAGTACGGAGGATATGCAAACTGATGTAAGGGTATAAATGTGTATAAATGGTTACAAAAGACCCTGGTGCCTGAAAACCAAAACCCATGCCAGCCCTTGATGGTGATTTGAGGGAAATCAGGGTTTTTTTTTCTAACTGGCTAAAGTATTATGCAGATTTTTTTTCTCACATTTGAGTTGCAGTTGGGAAAAATTGGCAATGTCAGCACTACATGTGACATCTTTTTGTGAATTGAATGTAGATTGCATAAATAATATTATAACTTCCAGATGAACTACATTTTACAGAATACATACTGTTTTCCTTCTTTCTTTTTTTTGTAAAAAACAAGTTTTTTACCAATGGGAAGCTGCTGGTTTAGATGTGAGCCTGTGTTTAGAGAAAGTGGTCCTTTGCACCTAAATTGATTTTGTGGCTTGTTCAATTTTGTGCCTATGTCCCCTCCAATTGGTTTGAGGCAAATGTTTATCAGAGAAATGTGAACTGTTCATACATGAAGAATAGATTGTATAAATTACATGGCAAACTATTGAGTTTATCTAGCATGAAATTTCAAGCTTTAAGAAGTAAATCAATGGTTTTTATTGCAAAACCTTGCTGAACTTTTGTTTCAAAGCAAAAATTAGACAAAATAATGCTCTTTGTTCAATGAAAATTTTGCTCAAAAGGCCTCAAATTGTGATTCGAACTTCCACACAACAATTCAAGGAAAGTTCATGAGAACAAAAGACTTCACTGACACATTTCACTTGCATTACTTTAATTTGCAAGATACAGAACAAGGAAATTGCTGCAACCAACTACCAGTATATCCATGTGTGTCTAAATGAAAGGAATTTTCCAGGGGAGTTCCTGGGCTCATACAGATATAAATTGACCTTGTCAAACCAGCATAGCCCAGTGATGTAGGGGATCAGTTAATTATTTCTGTCTTGCACTAATTCACCTGAACTGAGGATGGTCAAGCCCTGTAATCAATCTTGCCTATCTGTAGGTGTCACTTGGTCTAATAAAGTCTTCCAGAGCTCAAAACTATGGATCACTGTTTTCCATTACCCTTGTTTCAGAAGTTGGCTTGATGTGATTTTCCAAAGGCCATAAAAGCTTTGTTTTCCAACTTCTTATATCAAAGTATTTGGGGTCAGGCCTCTAAAATTATGGAAAATCATATCCTGTGAGGGGTAGATATGTGTGAAAGAGCAAAAAAATAACCTAAGTAACCCTGAAAAATAAATTGTATGCTATATATTTAACCCTTTAACTCTCACAAGTGACCAAGACAGAATTTCTCCTTACAATATCAATACAATATCAAGCAAAAAAGTGATGAGAATAAAGAAAAATATCAGTAAGGGGATTAAAAGTAGATCCAATACTAAATTCTTCAAACTAACATCACAAGAACTGTACAGCAGACAGTAAGGAGAATTACTGATGAGATCTTGGGAGTTAAGGGTTAATTCATAGGGGCTGTCAAATCATAGGTGCAGATTTAAATGTTTAAGCAGATTAGCAGGTTTGAGGCCTGACATGAGTCTGCTCAATTTTTGGAGCATAGCACCACTAAAAAAATTGCTTAAGGCTTAGGGTTCATAATTTCACTGCCTACATACCATCAACTGATCATAGAGATTTCAGTAGATCAGTTAATGTTAGCTTTATGAAAAGCAATCGAGAAGGGATGAACCCTCTTACTTAGCCAAGGGGTGTTTTCGTAAGGGAAAAATTCACATTTTGCCTGGCAATAATTACACACCAATTATATCTCCATTCAGTTTTAAGCACACCAGTTTCCTTAACCCATTAACTCCCAGATCAAATTTGTCATTCTCCTTAATGTCAACCATACAATTCTTATAATGTTAGTTCAGAGAATTTAGTATTGGATCAACTAATTATCCCCAAATTGATATTTTTCTCTATTCTCATCATTTATCTGGTTGATATTGTATTGATATTGTAAGGAGAAATTCAGTCTTCGTCACTCATGGGAGTTAAAGGGTTAAATGATTCTAGATCTCTTGGTGAAAGCTGCAATTAGGAAAAAATTTAACAAATAGATTCCATGTTGCCGTGCGTCTGTTCAGTAATAGATCACAGATGACGTCAAAATGTGGTAAG